GTTTTTTATATATATATATATTTTTTTATCCAATCAAACACTTGAAACTGTGAACTTACTGATTTTTATTAAGCTATGAGTTAATAAATGGTAATTGCTAGACTAGATTTTTTGGATTTTTACATGTACTGAAATGATTATAGAACACTGTTTTGACATTACAAATATTTATAGGTTGTGTTTACAACGCTAATCAATTGATGTGATTATATCTAAAGCTAAGTCTTGGGGATTTTTGAACGATAAATTAGAACAACGGAAATTATGGATAAAAAGCCCTATTTTGAAAGTAGAATTAGAAATTTCCTATCTGTTAATTAATTCCAAAACTGATTATTTGAATGTGGGAATAGAAACTTGCAATTTTTATTTGAAACTAAAGGTTTTTTTAGAGTAAACTTCTTGATGTTATAACTAAGTGGACCTTCCTAGGAGTGTGTTACAACCTAATGGGGAGGAAGTCAAACATGGGTGAATATAACAGGAAATTTAACAGATAATATGAAGCTAAGTTGTGGGTAAATTTTTAACAATTGAGTACAGATGTGTATTTACAGTATTATGGAGCGTTATGATGATTTTTTCTTAAAATTAACATGGTCGAACAAGAGACTTTTGCATAGTACTTAGTTAAATATTACCTTTTAATGATTACTTGAGGATTTGTGTATTTAGTGACTATTTGATTTTCTAGAGCAGATCGTGATGAAATAACACCACTAGATGGTGCAATTGCAATGATAGATTTAATTATTATTGCTTTCTATGAAATAACAATTTTTTAAAGCTATCGGCCATGACGAGAGACCAGAGAATTTTGATAAAAATATAAAATGGGGTTTTATAATGTAGATTTTCCAGGGGGTGAATTTATGACATTTTTCAATCTAAATTGGGATTAAATTTAAGGGTGGTGGAATGGGTGAATTGATTTGTTGCTTAATTGGGAATGATTTTATATAAGATCACCAGGGGGAGTTGGGAGGTTCTATTATTTACATACATATGCACGTTAAAACATGTTAAATGTTTAAATCAGATTTTATTCACACAAACACATTTTTTCTGCTGTGACAGGCTAAACATACCGGCAGCGCTCTGTGCAAATAAGTTGGGTATTACATGACTGAAGGGGAAGGGGGCACAGAGTTTTTTTTCTTTTTCAGATGGACGCAATGGACCAGCCTGCCCTTTGGAGTCAAAAAGAGACGTTCAGGGTCTACAACTGATTAACATCTAGTAGATAAGAACGCTTTCTTGCGGATCTTCTTACGGATCGGGTGGGGCCCACACAGCAGGTGAGCGTGGACTAAATGTTTTCAGTGTGATGCTTCGCATAACGGGATAAGCGACAGCCTTAAAGGGCGAAGCCTATACGAAATAGAACTGTATTGATACTGTTTTGATACTGTGTCACTGCACACTGACACCTGGTGGAACTTAAAGAGTCCCTACAGGCAATTTTGACAGACTCAACTGACACTTTGCTGACCTACTATTTACAATAATGTGATTTAAGTCATTGTAGTTTATATTGTATTGTTTCATATTTTCATTTAAATTTAAAATGTCTTTGATAGTTTTAGATACAGTCAATAAATAATGTGAACATGTATCATAACGTGAAAATATAAGTGAACATGTTGTGAATGAGGATATTTGTGGACTGGGATTGTTTTTTTAAACAAATTTATATTATAAAAAAATAAGTTTGGCTGGCAGTCCTTCAGGATGAAATTCAGCAGAGCCTCATCCAGCATCTGCTTCCTGGAAACTTGATGGTTAGAAATGAGATAAAGAATAAATTAATAGGAATTAATTATCAATAAAGCAACTGTGAGTAAACTGTGGAATGGTTGTATACCTGAGTTTACCCTGGATGTATCTGATACTGCATTCTCATGCCTGTCCCTAGAATGCAGTGATTTATTTTTATTTATTTAATTTTCAAACGAGCCTGACAGATCAAAGTCAAGGGGAGAGCTGCGATATCACCCCAAGTCACTCAAAGAAAAAAAAAATTGAACAACCCACCTATGAACAAAAAAAGAAACACAGCCAGCACATTATCCGTTTAAACAAAATGTATCTTAGTACTGAGATGAGTTGAAGTTGTGCTGCAAGTAGAGATGGGGCCGATCCGATCCAGAATCGGTATTGGCATCCGATACCAGCATAATTTACGTATCGGATTTTTCCGATCCACCTGCCAATATTTCCGATCCATGATGCATGTTGGCTTCAAACTATGGAATGGATTTCCTGAACGGCGGCGTGTCTCATGAGCCCAGAGTAATAAGACCCACCTCACATTCAGGAACTCCAGTTCATAGTTTGCAGCCAGCTACAACGTGAGGACTGAGTTAGCAGCACTGTGGCTAAAAGCTAACAAACTTTTCATCTAAACATGTCCACTGTGTGGAAGTATTTTACACTAAACACCACAAAACAAGACAGCAACGTGCAATGTCTGCAGAGCCATAGCGCCACATTAAACCGCGGTAAAGTTAGTTTTACTTTGGACATTCGAGCTCTGGTGCTTCAGCGGGGTGCTACTCTCACTGAACCCGAAAGAGGCGACTCAACCCCGGCCAGCCGTGTCCAATCTGCCCCACTCACTCTGCCCGTCTCTGAGGAGGGACAGACTGAGCGTGGCTGCCCCAAATCAGGCTTCCTGCTTCGGATTGAACAAGAAGAAGACATCGCTGAAACCACGGAGCTCAAATTTTTACAGAGAAGTTGCTAAACGTCATAATTAATGACCAACCACTATCAGTTGTAGAAAAAGAAGTATTTCACAGCTTGATACTTGCAGCCAAGATATAGTTTACCCTCCAGGAGATATTTATCAGTGCAACAGTAAACAATCATAAAAAAACATGATTGGAAAATTATATATATTAAAAACAAAAAACAGCTACATTATAAAGTGAAGTAAAATACTAAAAACAGGAACATGTCTGTTGGTTTATGTCATGAACTTAGCAGATGTTTGAAGCCATTTAACATTTAATTTAATTCATTTATTCATTCATTTAAATAAAAAAAAATAAAAAAATCATCAAAAAGAAAACATTGAATGAAAAGAGTTCAGAAAGAAGAAAAAAATTCTTATATCTGCCATTAATTTAAAAAAATATAAAATAACTTTAAACAATCACTTAAATTAATCACTTTAATATCCACTTTAAAGCTAGGAATAAAAAGAAACCTTTTTTTCTGTTAGAAGAATTTAATTCTAACTTTAAAACTTATCTAACATTAATAAAACTTACATCAAGTTGCCTTTTTGGACATGCATGCATAGATTTGTACAAATTGTACTTGAGAGGAGATTATTACAGCCTCATATAAAATCAATGATGATCATGATATCGGAACTGGATCGCTATCGGCCAATATTCAGATTTAGGTATCGGGATCGGATCGGAAGTAAAAAAAGTGGATCAGTGCATCCCTAGCTGCAAGTCTTTACTTTCTTCATGTTGTATTTGTAATTTGTTGTTGCAGCACAGTGAGACATTCAAGATGGGCATGGGTCAGTCGGTTTCTTTGTTTTTGCTTGATAGCGTTCATGGTTGAAAATGTTGACTCACACGTGTAAAAATTCAGTTTTATTACCCCAGTCCCATGAAGAAAACACAAGTCAACAATAACAATGTAAACTAAACTCCATGCTCAACATGAATATGCTGTAATATGTGTAAGGATGAAGATGCCCCCTTCACATTTCCCCAGTGCCCCCTCATGTAACCATCCCTAGAACCGGCCCTGTAATTCTGCTACTTCCTTCACTACAGATGACAGAAGGTGCGGAGACGCACGCGGCCCGTGATGATCAGCTGATCCATCTGAGATTGACAGGATTTTTTAATTTTTATTTTACCTCTACCGGCACGTTTGACCTGCCTCCTCCTCAACAAGTAGATTAACACAATGTCATATTCAACATCTTTCAGTCAGGTCATCTGGACACTTTCTTTTTTTTGTGCTGAAACGTTTCGCCTTCGGTCCGGAAGGCTTCATCAGTCAAGGAAACACAACAAAACGGATGACAATGTCAAATTGTGCATTCTCATTTTGTCTTTGCGCTGTATGATTGAAGAAACCGCATCAGCCCGAGCCGACATGCGCAACTATTGCGTAATGAGCCAGCACGTTTTAAAAATGTATTGGCTGCTCCGGTGTATTGTTGTAACCTGTCAGAGAGTAGAGCCACCATGAGTGAGCCTGGTGCTACCGGCACAAGAGCGGCTTTAAAATCACTGAATCACTTTTTGGCAGTAGAAAACGGCGATTTAAAAAAAAAAAAAATCAATTTCTACCATTTTTTAAGTGTGACACGTACAATATTCAACTATTTCTATGCAATATAATCCCTCTTAGTGTAATAAAGTCATTAAAGTCAAGTGTGACACTGAATTCATTCAACCATATCTATATGGTATTATCTCCTTGAGTGGAAATTGCACTACAACTTTGCCTGACACTACAAAGTAAAAAATAAAAATAGTTTTTCATTTGATTATTTATTAAGTTACATCCATACAGTGAACACACAGTTGTTCGAAATCTAAGCAAACTTAGTGCAGATAGAAAGAACACTTTTACTGCTATATTCCCATTAGGAATTTAAATGGGCAGATACTTATTACAAACGATAAAACGTGAATGACTCTGTGACGGAGGAAACATCCCAAGTTTTAGGCAGAGAAAAGGGTAAACGAGACGAACCTTTGTTGTAATCCTGGGCATACAACTACATTTGTTATTGGTGTTAACTTAATGTGTCTAAAAGAATTAAACGACAGAGAAAGACCTTAGAAAAGACTCGACGAGACACTTACAGCAGCCTGAGCGCAGTCCCGCAGCGCTCCCGCGGCGCGCTCCTTGGCGGGGGCGCGCCCGATTTCACCCGATCAGTTTTTGGCAGAGAATCACTTTTTGGCACGACACCTCTGTCTTGCCTTATTTTCTCTTTAAGCGCGCATGCGCGTATCAGTCTGACGGGAGTCCTCATGACGCTGGTGTAGAAGACAGCTGAGGAGCTCAGGTAGGGGGCCGGATTTAGGGGGGTGGGGGACAAAATGTTAGGGATAAATGGATTTAATGCTTGCTAGTCTGATTTCTGTTTTCTGGACTCGGTATCAGATGGTTTCAGTTTGCTCAGATCAAGTCGGGATGTATAGCATCACATGACAGTGTTAGCGTCTGAATTAGCCTTTTATGGTGGTATTTATTTTAGAAGTATGAAGTATGTATGATAGATGGCAGGATGAAAACACCTCCGATCTCCCACTTTAATATTACATCACTGCATCTGCGTGTGTCAACACACAGCGAGGGAGGAGTGGCTGTTCCAGGCAGACAAAAATGAACAGAACAGCGCATGGCATCTGCACGTGATGGAAATATCAGGCAGTGTTTTCTGAGCACAGAAAATCAGGATCAGTGTGTTTTTGTTTTTGCTCCCGGTGCAGAGATTCGTTGTGAGGCTGATCAGAGAAAGCATCAGCACCAGCAGCATTTAGCTTGAATCATCCTGGGAGTTGTCCTGGAAACAGGAGCTGCATCCTTCTAGCTGTGATTGTGAACAAAAAAAGATGACAACACTGTGAAAACACGAGCCTGCTACAGGTTCCTTACTGTGTCACTTTAATGATGATAAATCAGAAGTGTACAACAAGATTTACAAATGCTTCAAACAGTTTTTCAAATGTACACGTTTCAACATGCACAAATCACCTGCTGTGGATGAATCTGTCAACATGACCACACGGATCAGCTGTCTGTGAATGTGGCTTTGAGACATTCTTGCCACTCCTGATTCACTTAAGGCAATGCTACTTTCAAGTCTGGTGAAACTGGGACATCTAAACCAGAATTACTGAGTAATTGGGAAAAGACAAATTTCTAACTTGGCAGCAATATTCAAGGTTCTTTATTTGTCATTCGAACCACATGTGGTACATGGGGTGGAATGAAACTGTGCACACACAATTCCATTTACATCCAACAAAAGTATTAAAATGTAAAAGAAAAGCTGTAATAAGATCTAAGATACGAACTAAGAAAAATGTTAACTAAAAACACACAAAGCACTAATAGCATAGACACATTAAACACAATACGCCGAACAGCAGTACGAACATGAGTCTATGTGAGCAGATGAGTATGAATGAACACAGCACCATGAAACAGATCAGCAGCAACATGAAACAGATCAGCAGCAACATGATGTGATTTTTTTCACAGTGATTATTCTGGTAGATATTCATGACTCTATCAGCCTCAGGGTAGAATCTGTTCCTCAGTCTAGTGGTTTTACACTTAATGCTCCTTAACCTCCTTCCTGAGGGGAGCAGGGCAAAAAGTGTGTGTGCTGGGTGAGTGGGGTCCTTTATGATACAGGTGGCCCTCTTCCTGCATCTGCAGGTGTAGATGCATGTTATGATGGGGAGACTGACTCCAACAGACTTCTGTGCAGCCTCAAATATGCCACTATCTCCAGTTCATACAACATAGCTGGTCTCACCACTGTCTCACAAACTTTTCCTTTGACCTTTGCTGACATCTTTTTGTCACAAATCACTCCTGAAACTTTTCTCCATCCTGCCTGAACTCTCTTTTTCACCTCTTTACCACATTCCCCATTTTCCTGGACAGTGGACCCCAAGTACCTGAAGTCCTGCACCTTTGTGACCTCTACTCCTTGTAGCCTCACTGTTCCACCGGCCTCCCTCTCATTCACACACATGTACTCTGTCTTACTACGGCTGACTTTCATTCCTTTTCTTTCACATGCAGGCCTCCACCTTCCCTAAGTTCTCTTCCACCTGTTCCCTGTTCTCACCACAGATCACAATGTCATCTGCAAACATCATAGTCCACAGGAATTACTGCCTGACCTCATCTGTTAGTCGGTCCATCACCAGAGCAAACAAGAAGGGGCTCAGAGCAGATCCTTGATACACTCCCACCTCCACCTTGAAGCTATCTGTCACTCCTACAACACATCCCACCACTGTCCTGCTGTCCTCATACATGTCCTGTACTAGTCTAACATACTTCTCTGCCACTTCAGATTTCCTCATGCCCTCATTCCCTGTCATATGCTTTTTCTAAATCCGCAAAGACACAATGGAGTTGTTTCTGATCCTCTTTGTACCTCTCCATCAGCATCCTCAAAGTAAAGATGTCATCTGTGGTCCTCTTTCTCAGCATGAAACCATACTGCTGCTCACAGATAGTCAGCTCTCGTCTAAGTCTTGCTTCCACAATTTTCTCCCAGATCTTTTTCGTGTGACTCATCAACTTAATTTCCCTGTAGTTGCTACAACTGTGCAAATCACCCTTGTTCTTAAAAATGGGCACCAGCACACTTCTTCTCCATTCCTGAGGCACTTTCTCACCCTCAAATATGCCATTGAATATTTGAGTCAAAAACCTCACTGCCATCTCTCCAAGACATTTCCAAACCTCCACTGGCATGTCATCAGGTCCTACTGCCTTCCCCTTCTTCGTTCTTTTCAGAGCTTTCCAGATTTCACCCTCACTAATCTTTCCCACTTCCTGGTCCACAGTTTCTACGATGTCTACTCTTCTTTTTCTTTCATTCACTTCTTTCATTAGCACCTCAAAGTACTCCTTCCATCTTCCCTTCACATTCTCCTCACTTGTTAGAACCATTCCTATCTTTAGGCAGTCTAACCTGCTGCACATTCCTTCCAGCCTGATACCTCTGTCTTACCAATTGATACAAGTCCTTCTCGCCCTCTTTTGTGTCCAGCCTCCCATACAACTCATCATACACCTTCTGCTTTGCCTTAGCTACCTCCCTCTTTGCTCCACATCCATATATTCCTGTCTCCTCTCTTCAGTCATTTCACTGTCATATTTTTTCTTGGCTAACCTCTTTCTTTGAACAATGTCCTGCACTTCACTATTCCACCACCAGGTTTCTTTATTATCCATTCTTTGTCCAGATGACACACTAAGTACCTTTCTACATATCTCTCTAATTACTGTTGCTGTAGTAGCCCAGTCATTTGGAAGCTCTTTCTTACCACCCAAAGCCTTTAACAGCTCCTCTCTGAACTTTTCAAAATAACAGTTGTTCTACACACAATCATCCGATGTTGTCTGGCCACGCTCTCCCCTGCCACAACCGTATAACATTATCCAATCTCCATCAGGTTTCTCTTCTACACAGGATGTAGTCTACCTGCATACTCTTGCCTCCACTACTTTAGGTCACTCTATGTTCCTCCCTTTTTTAGAAAGATGTGTTGACTACAGCCATTGGGGCGGCTGTGGCTGAGTGGTTAGAGCAGTCGTCCTCCATTGCAAGAGTTGGGGGTTCGAATCCACCAGCAGTCACATGCCGAAGTGTCCCTGGACAAGACACTGAATCCCTCATTGCCTCCGACGTGTGTCCCATTGGTGTATGAATGTGATAAAGCTCTGATTAGTCTCTTTAGAATGATTTGTTCAATTAGCTTTGTAGAGATCTAGTAGAGTGCTGTATGAATGGGTAAATGAGGACACAGATTATAGTGTAAAGCGCTTTGAGTATCTTGATCAGATAGAAAGGCGCTATACAAGTATAGTCCATTAACCATTTCTATTCTCTTGGCAAAATCCACCACCATCTGTCCTTCCTGGTTTCTTTCCGTGATATCAAACCTACCCATCACTTCCTCATTCCCTCTGTTTCCTTCACCAACATGTCCATTCAGGTCTGCTCCGATCACTGCTCTCTCCTCCATGGGAATGCTCTCTGTCACTTCATCCAGATCCTTCCCAAATTTATCTTTCTCCTCCACATCACAACCAAACTGTGGAGTATAACCACTGACGATATTTAGCATCAGACCTTCTACTTCTACCTTCAGACACGTCACCCTATCTGACACCCTCTTCACCTCTACTACATACTTTGCCAACTCCTCCTTCAGGACCACCCCTACTCCATTTGTTCTATCCACACCATATCCAACATTTTTCAGTCAGGTCATCTGGACAGTTTCTTTTTTTTTGTGCTGAAACATTTCACCTTCCATCCGGAAGGCTTCATCAGTCAAGGAAACACACAACACAAAACTGATTCTTC